ACGTTGGTTTGTAGACATTGGGTTGTGTGTGCATGTGTCTGTATACACAGTAGTATGGCCACGTGTGCGGTTGTGTGTGTGTGTTAGTTTGGGCGTGATCCTTGTAGACGGTTGGTTCGTTTTACCATTCACTGAGCCCTGTGTTCTCATTGGCTGTGGTTATTCCATAGGTAATCAGTGTGTGCTAGCAGACGCGTCGGGCGTTGGTTTGTAGACATTGGGTTGTGTGTGCATGTGTCTGTATACACAGTAGTATGGCCACGTGTGCGGTTGTGTGTGTGTGTTAGTTTGGGCGTGATCCTTGTAGACGGTTGGTTCGTTTTACCATTCACTGAGCCCTGTGTTCTCATTGGCTGTGGTTATTCCATAGGTAATCAGTGTGTGCTAGCAGACGCGTCGGGGGAGGTAGAAGCAGGATAGGAATATCTGATCAGATAGTTTAGAAATGTGCCTGTCTGTCTGTCTGTCTGTTTGCTGAAGAACTCCTCCTCGACCCTTTACGTCTGTCCTCGGCCTTGCACCAGGCCTTACGTCTCAGGCCCTCTTTCTAGTACAACCGCCACTCTCAGCACTTGCTTACGAAGCCTCCAGCGACTCGTGAGTGTGTTTGTGGTCACTAGCCTCGTGCTTCGTGTGTCCAGAGAGCCTCCCCATCTCGAAATCTCACTAACGGCGACTGTTTAACACCTCGACACAGCTCACTGTGACCTGACAGAGACCGTTCATTCAACTGACATAGCAGCTTTCCATGTGCCTGTGCGCGTGGTCTTCCTGGGCGCCAGTGTTCATGGCTATGTGGGGGAGGGGCGGAGGGCGGGGGTGTATCTATGGTGTCTCATTCACTTTTCTTTATGGCTGGTGATTCTTCCAGCTGGAATCACAGGACATTAATAATGTCCCTCTCTGGGACTCCTGCCTGCCCCAGCCAGGCCCTGCACTAAACCCCCACTGGCTGATGATGAACTGACGAGAGTCCCTGGGAGGTTGTCGCAAAGCTGTGCCCCAAATCCGCAAGCGCCCGGTGCGCCCCAGCAGGGGGCTTGGCACTGGGGTTGTGTGTACAGCACCCAGCACAATGGGCAGGGGCAGATGTAGGGCAGGGCGAGCGGGGCGGCCATGTCACAGGGGGGGCCCCGCGAAATTGTGCTGCCCAGGGCCCCGCAAAATCCTCATCTGCCCCTGACAACGGGCCCTACTGTCGCTCGGCCCCTCTGCCCCCCACCCTATAATAAAAGCAATAACGCTCTCTGCCCACAAGATGGCAGCCCGGCTCCAGCGGAGGAAGCCGTGTGAAGACGCAGCCCCAGGGAGCTCTCCCTGGCCGGGTGCCGGGTGCGGTGTTGAGCCATCCTCCTCCGCCACAGGGCAGCTGCTCCCCACTGGCCTGCCCCCAGGCTGGCCGCAGAGGGAGGGGGATCTCCAGGCCGGGGGGCTGACTCCGACTTTAGGGACTTCCCAACTTCGGGACATTTTGCCTGACACCAAACCCTTCCCCCCAAATTCCATGGGCCCTTTGGCCAGTTGCAGCCCTGGGGCACTGAGCTCCACTCCCCTCGTGCCCCTGGGCACACCCAAGAGCCAGGGCTGCGGGCGGGCAGAGCCCAGGCCAGAAACCCTCCCTCGGGATCCCTGCGTCCACCCCGGTTAGGGACTTCCCAACTTCGGGACATTTTGCCTGACACCAAACCCTTCCCCCCAAATTCCATGGGCCCTTTGGCCAGTTGCAGCCCTGGGGCACTGAGCTCCACTCCCCTCGTGCCCCTGGGCACACCCAAGAGCCAGGGCTGCGGGCGGGCAGAGCCCAGGCCAGAAACCCTCCCTCGGGATCCCTGCGTCCACCCCGGCCTTGTGGCACTCCAGAAGCAATGGCCCGTGTGTGACGGCGCGTTGGGGGTTTCCCGTCTCCTGCACCCCCGAAATGGCACGAACAGCCCCCCCCAGCCAGTAGAACAGGGGGAGTTTACTGCTTCTCTAGGATACAGCCCAGCACAGATGTCATCTGGTTACAGGAACTGGGGCTAAGAGGCCTCAGTGCCCCCCCTTGAGATGGGGGGTGGCTGAACCCTACAATCCCAGCCCCCTCCCTAGCTCCTTCTCCCCTGCTTCCCAGACAGAAACTAACTCTCTTCCAGCTCTGCCTTCCAGCCAGGGGCGAGGCCGGGTTCCCCTCACACTGACTGGGGGTTGGAGTCAGCATGACGTCGGTGAGAGGGGAATCAGGGCCCGAGCTCGGGGGGCCGATGCCTGGATCTCAGCAAGGCGGGACCCTTCCGCTCCCCCAACCGCCAGGAGAGGCAGCTGTGAAGGGCTCGGTGTGGCTGGGGCAGGGAGCCCAACCCAGGCCATCGCGCCAGTGCAGCCAAGCCGGACATGCGGTGACGCACACAGGGAGCAGAGCCCCCAGCTGCTGTGGGGAGAGCCCGAGAGGCAGGGGGGAAAGGACCCTGGGGAGCTCAGCGCTCTGGGGGAGCCCTGCCTGGGGGCTGAGGGACCACGGCGTCCCTGGACGGGCGACAGCAGCAGAGATCGGACCTGTGACCTCTGTGCCTCGCCTCTGCTGCCTGAGCTGAACCCCAGCTCTGTCCGGTGGGGCGGTAACGGGCTTGCTAGCCCCTGCGCTGCCCCAGCCCCGATGGAGGGACAGAGCCGCCCGGCACGAGGCGGATACAGGAATAACCACAGGCCGGCTCCATGCTCCGGCTCAGACCAGCTCTGCCCAGCATCCCCAGCCTCGCCCTGAGCCGGCCAGGCCTGGGCTGGAGCCAGGCGCCAGGGCACAGGGACAATCAGCAAACCCTGGCCAAAGGGACAGACCTGGGCTGGGGCATGAAGAGCCTGGGCCGCCTTTGTGACTCCCAGGTGCCAGCGGGACCCCGCAGAGGCTGGGGCAGCTCTGCAGTCGTGTTCCAGGGCCTGGTCTGCGACTCCCCATTGCAGCCAATGGAGCCGCACGTGGCCCAGGCCCTAGGTCAGTACAGTCCGCCTGGGATGCCTCGGTCAGCTGCTCACTGTGGTTCTTGCTCCCCAGACTGGGAGCGCCTCGGGGCAGGGACTGTCTCTCACCACAGCCTGCGCAGCGCCTGGCACAGTGGGGCCCCAATCCCAGTCGGGCCTTTGGACGCTACCACCACACTAGTGATCACACACCCCCTTAGCAGTGAGGAGTCAGTATTCACAGCCCCGGCCCCGCCTGAGCCAGGCCGCCTGCTTCTGCTCTGGGCCTCCGGTCTTGGTGAGAACGTCCGCCAGTCACCAGAACTCCAGGTGCTCTGTGCGAGATCCTGGGGGAGACAGGAGGAGCAGAGCACACCCACCGGCAGGAACGGTCCTCGGGCCTGCTGAATCCAGGGGAGCTTGGTATCAACACCAGGGAGGCCACGATTCCACCCTGAAATTCCGCCTCCCTTCTGCGTAAGCTCCCCGCAGATCCATTTCCATGGGGTGCCCTGGTGCCTTGTGCCAGGGGAAGCAATAGGGACGGAGGTCTGACTGTAGGTTCAATAAGAACTCAGGGACAGCCCATGGACGTGAAAGGGGTGAGTTCCACACAGACCAAAGGAAATGCTTTCTTGCCCATTAGCCTGTGGAACTCACTGCCACAGGAGGCCACTGAGATCCAGGACTTAGGATTCCTTTAGGGAGTGGACCTTTGGCTGGGGAAGAGGAATAGTCATGTCGCATGGGGAAGGAGATAAAACTAGTGCACACGGCATCCCAGTGCAGGCTGTGGCTGGACACACGTTGCTAATGGTGCCAACCTGACAACCACACACGGACGAGTGAGCGAGGACAACCAAAACAAGGATTCTGGAGCCACAGGGCAGATCCTGATCACACTGCCTACAATGCAGATCTGGATTCACTCCACTTAAATGAAGGGCGTCTCTCTGGATTCACACTGAGCTGTCTTGTTCCTGGCTCTGGGTCCATGAAGGAAACAGGCAGAGCAGCTGAGTCACCCCCGGCCCTGGGGCAGTGCAGGCGTAAGAATGAACTGCTGGTGGCTCCTGTTGTGTCTAATCCATGGTGCGTGCCAGTCCCAGCGCTCCAGACCCTTTGCGGACGTTAGCTGCAGCTCCTCCCTGTGCGGGGCAGGGGTAGAAGTGTCCCCGTTCCAGAGATGGGAACCGGAGGCTCAGTCTTGCTGAAGATCTCAGACACCAAGTCAGCCCCTGAGCCCAGGAGTTCTGCTGTCCTGGCATTGCACCAAACCATCAGGGGCTGCACCGGAGCCCAGCCCATGCTCCTGGGCACTGGAGGCAGGGAAGGGAAGAGTTAAACCATTGGCTCATAGCTGGTGAGCTCATCGGCGCTGAAGTCTGCTCCCTCGGTTATTAGCGGGGGAGGGGGAGAGTAGTCGGAGCTGGGAGACTGTGACGCCCACTTAGTGCAAACGTGTCCATGTGCCAGGCGGGGGAGACGGCCTGAGCTGCTGGCCACGTAAGTAGGAATCTCTCACTACAGGAACTAAGGAGCACCGTGGATAAGAGGGGGCTGCGGGCTGGGATTGCGGGGGACTGTGGATGGAAGGGTGGTGCAGTCTGGGATTGCAGGGGGGTCTGTAGATGGGAGAGGGTGCGGGCTGGGATTGCGGGGGACTGTGGATGGAAGGGGGGTGCAGTCTGGGATTGCAGGGGGGTCTGTAGATGGGAGGGTGTGCGGGCTGGGTTTGTGGGGGTCTGTAGATGGGAGGGGGTGCGTGTTAGAACTAAGGATCAGAGTCCAGGACTGGGGAGCCGACAAGTTTCTTGTCACTGGAGAGCAGAGTAAAGCACCGAAAAGGGACTTTCAAGTGGCCCCAGTCCGATGCTTGCTGGGCAGGTGACACTGGGCGAGTCAATGGAACCCTCTAACTGACTCTAGTGGATGCCAAACCTGCTGTCCCAGGATCCAGCGGCAGGGCCAGGCCCCGCTGTCAGTTCCACCCGCCGCGTCTCGATAGAGTCCGGCCCCTTCTTCCACCGAACAGCCCCCGGGGCCCCTCGGACGGGATGGTTCTCGTTTCTGCATCTGCAGCCAGAGGCGTGGAGTCTGGCTAGCCTGCCCAGGGCCAGCGTCCCACGCCCACCCCATCCCACGGACCTCGTCCGCACAGGAAGTAGCAGGGGGTGGGGACGGTTGTGCTGAACTGGTTTGGAAGGGCTCCACTCTGCGGGCTTTGGCCAGGCCAAGGGCCCCTCACTCAGCGAGAGCTTTGCCCGGGGCTGGGCTGCAGGATCATGCCCTAAAGGAGGTGTCCTGGCACCTGCTCCAGGGGCACGGCTGTGGCCGCTGTTGGGTTACCCGCAGAGACAGTTCATGTCGCCGGTTCCCTTGTCTCCGACTCACATGCCCACGTGCCGGGACCGTCTGGGATGAGTTCGCCTTTTACAGCCTCCCTTCCCTCCACAATCAGTTGCACTTGTCGGCCCTTCACACAGATGCTTCGTTCCTGGTCAGGCTCGGCATGGTCAGTCCCTCCATGAACAGCCACCTCCCGGCGGTACCTGCTGACTGGGCTGGGACGGGGGGGTCCTCTGGACCTTTCATTCCCCAGCGTGGGGTCACGTCACCTCTGGCACCAAGAGAAGAGGGACTGGCCAGATCCAGTCCCGGCCCCTGGCGCTGCCATTCTGTGCTGAGGGGACAGACGGGCACAGCCACGTGACAGCTCCTAA